CAGTTGTATTAAGCTAGACCATGTCATTATCCTTCAGCTTCTGAGGATACACGGAAACCTCAGGAATACTATATTCTGTATACCATACATGTCGATCCTGGGTGAATCCTGAAAGATTTTTCAACATCAGCCACATTTAGTCCAATATTCTGGTTGATGTGCCATTTTAGCTTGATGGCTTCATAGGTACTTTCCATTACCATCTGTGTTCCCACTTCCAATTTTCACTATAATTGCTTGTTCCCATGTCTGGATGCAGCTCTGCATAGAAACATCTGCCATTTACTTCCCTCTAGAATTGAGTTGCTGTGTTCACTCAAAATTCATTCATGGCAATTTTTGGAATGAAGGCCCGAGTTTTACAGCCATAATATAGCGAAATCTAACAGAATCCACATTACAACCTCTTACAATCACATGGTACTTAATTTCCAGGTTATATACGTAAGGATGTCTGGGCTGGTGCTGTGACAGGTTAAGCTGCTGCCTGTGGAGGTTCTCCTCATCTATTTGCTGTGCCATCCATTTTGCTCATGTATTGCCTCATCTCTACCAGCACCATCATAACATCAGCTTCCCAAGGGTCCTCACTGAGTGCTCACCTAGGATAATCCATGATAAGTGTTCCTCTCAATTTCCTTCCCTTAACTACATCCTTTTGCTCTATAAAGTGATATTCATTCTGTTGCCATATAAGGAAATACTCACAGATACTAGAAATTGGTAGTTAATACCTGGACATATCTGGAAGCATGACATGGAGAGGCCAAAGGAGAAACTTTCATCTCACTGCAGCCAGATGGTGTTAATGAGCCTATAGACACATATCCAACATAGATATTCCATTTCTGAAGGTGATGAAAACTTAAGAAATTATTGCCCCTATATTTTCCCTATAATTCATTGCTCTTAATTATCTGAGATGTGATAATAGAACTACAGAATTCTATTAACTGGAATACTGTCTCCTTTGCATGACTCTAAACATGCTCAGCTGGCAGATCCTGAATCTGTCAATGCACAGTGACAACCTGAACACTTGCACAGTCTCATGGAGAATAAAGTCTAGGGTAGGCCAGTTTTTTTTTTTCATGTTTCCAAGTTTTACTTTGATGGAGAGTATGAGAAGTGCCATTTCCATGGCAGAGCAGAGCTGCACTGCATATGACATCCCAGGGAGAATGAGAGTGATTTTTTTGGAATCTAAATTACAACAGCCCCACTGCCATTCAGCTGTAAGAGCAAGGCCATTTTCTGCTAATAAAGCTAAGGTGTTCAGTGTAGGGGAATTTTTGAGTTTGGCTTATGATCATTCCACTCTGAACAACTGTGCCTTTGCAGTCTCTTGAGTGGAGCTGTAAGCACAGTAGTATCTGTTCTGCTAACTGACCTTCTCCCACACATTCCGCTGGCTCTCTATGGTTCAAAATGCGGTGATCAACATCAGAAGTTGCCTCCATGGGTGGAAAACAGTGAGTTAGTGCAGGTGGGATGGGCACTCATATCTTTGTGGTACTTCTCTTTACTGGGTATCAAAGAAAGTGGTAATAAGACTATGCACTGAGAATCATATTACTGAATTCTTTGTACATTTTCTCTGTATCTCAGTTTGCTTGCTGGAACTAAAGAAATGAAATTCTGGGTAAAATCATGGCTAGACAATATTTAACAATAAACGAATTTTCCCAAGTTGGTATGATTTCAAATCTCTGTTATTTGCTTAGTAGTGACTCACCAGTATTTGTTTATTAAATATTCATAGTGATTATAATCTTGAATGAGACAAATACAATTTTCAATATTTCACGTTGTGCTCAAACTACACAAGCCATCTCAGACTAGTATGAATTTTTGTGCTTTTCAAATGTCTAAAGTTCTAACACTTATCTCAAGCTCTAACACATATCTTTCCTTGTAGCTCATTCATGTCTGTTTAATCAGTAAAATTAATAGAAGTATGTTATGATTAATCTTATGCCAAAATTTGATGTTATCACAAATATTTTAAAGCACTTTTATTCATTGTTGCTAGGCACTAGAAAATATCCATGCAATCAAAGACGTATACTTTAGACACTAATGTAATGAAAATTCAAATTATGAAAACACTTGTTTGACATTCTCTATCAATGAAATACTGGATTAGACGTGCAAGCATTTCTTTCCCTTAGGAAACTCATCATCTATCAAAGAAGTTCACAGGCTATTTTGCATGAATTAATTCTAGTAAACTCAAAATCATGTTGTTATTAAAATAATGGTACCATAATCTTTCAGAAATATTGATTTATATCAAGAAGAACTAAAATTAAATTAGTGGGTTGCAAAAAGGAACCAAAAAATGATCTGTAACTTTTTGACATATCTTACTGTTTAGTTTTGGCTGATGGGACCTGACTTGTCAACTCTGTTCTGGCTTCCTCATGAAAGTCCCTTCCGAACCATGCTCTTCATTATCCTGATCTTTTAGGTAGATGCTAACCTCATGTGAAGGTTTTTCAATGATCTGGATCCAGATTACAACAAGCTCAAGGTCCATTTGTAAAGAGCAGGAATTCCTCAGTTTTTCCAAGTCCTAGAGCTGATACAGTGGTTTTTATTTTTTATGTAACCATTGAAAAGCTAGAAAGTGATTAGTCCTTGGTGTTCCTGTGACTTCATTTAATTCTGTTTTATTTGGAAGGGCAGATTTATATAGAGAAAGAAAGACAGAAATATTTTCCATCCACCTGTTCATTCCCCAAATGTGCTACTGCTGGAGCTGAACTGATCTGAAACCAGGAGCCAGTAGCTTCCTCTGGTCTCCCAATTGGCTACAGGGTACCAAGGCTTTGGGCTGTTCTTCACTACTTTCCTAGGCCAGAAGCAGAGAATTGGATGGAAATTGGAGTAGTTGGGGCATGAACTGATATCATATAGAATCACAGTGTTTGCAAGGGAGAATTAGCCAACCGATCCATAACATCTGATCTATAGCTTACTTTTTAGCTGATTTTCTCATAGGATATGGAAGAATTTTGGAGATGTTTACCAGCTGATGTTGTGTCAAGTTTCCTTCAGAGGTTTATTTACTTGGAATCACAATTCTAATTTATTAAGACAACAGCAGCCCCCTTGATATCTGGTAGAAATCCATCCAGAAAAAACTCAGTGTCAAAAACTCATGAGCTAACCAACTGTCTTTAAAATAATGAATTGGAAAAGTGGGTACTAAACTGCAGCAGATTATACACTATGAGATATTTTAAGTATCTGATTCTGCAACAGAGTGTGATGTTTGGAAACTATGCATACATAGGCTTAAAACAACATCCTTTCCATTGTTCCATGAAATGCATTGATTTCAATATATTAAGGAAACAGATCATAGGAATAGGAGTTTGATGTATTTCAGGATACTTACCTACCGCAACACAGAAATGTGAATCAACGTTTTCACGAATGATCCAGTGTACCTGGGCTCAGGTGCTTTTTGCTTAGGATATTTAGAAGTTGGTCACAAATTGCATTCTTGAAAAGAGGGGGAATTCCATACATTTAGACTATCTATTTTAGAATCTATTTCTATCAAAGCATGCACATTTGTGTGGCAGAAATACAATTATAACCTACCACTTCACACTTTCACTCTGAGAGGAAAAATATCCTGAGCTCTGCTAGGAGAAAATAACTTGTGTAGTTCCGTGCATCAGAGCTTCTTCCAATACACAGCTGTGGCAGATTACACCTTAGATCTCCAGAGATGCTCAAATATAGATTTTTCTATCCAAACAAACTTGCCAGGGAGACTGTAATTACCCTGTATTTTGAGATTTATAGCATATGGCTCAATTTTAAAAACTACAAACAATTTTCAAATGTTTTAAATATTTGTTATTTCACATGTAATTTACAATCTCAGTGCCTCAAACGTCATCAAATTACAGCTCCCAGTACAGTTTTCATATGGAGAATTTTTGTGTCCTGTCACTTCAACGCAGAAGCTTGAGGTGAAATTGCACAGATTTTATAGTAGAACATGAGTAGTTTGGTTTGTGCCTAGAAATTATTTCAATGTTCTGTATTTATATAATTCGTACATTTCTTCTTGATCTAATTTAACATTTTTGGCATTTTAAATGGTGTTTTTATTACTAAGGAAAATCCAGAAGCTTGACACATTGCTCACTTGCCTGTACGGCTGCTTGCCACTGTGCAGATTATATTTAAAACAGCAAACAAACAAACAAATCACAGGGTTTTCAAAATTGGTTGCACCAAAATAAACATGGCTTTCAATTTCATTTTTCATGAACTATTTTAAGTTTATTAATTATTTCTATTTGAAAGGCAAAAAGAGAAAGAATGGGAGAGAGAGAGAGAGAGAACACTATCTACTGGTTCACTTTCTGAATGTTTGAAACCACTGAAGCAGGCGAGACGAGTGCCAGGAGCCAGGAACTCCATCTAGTTCTCTCACGTGAGTGACAGGGAACCAAGTACCTGAGCCATCATTTGCTGCCTCCTAGGGTGTCCATTAATAGGAACATTGGAATGAAATGGAGGTAGACCCAATCCCAGGCATTTGATATGAGATATGACATGCCAAGTGCTGATTTAACTTGTACCACAACACCGGCCCCATCATTAACTTCTTGATATGCACAGTTAATGTTTAAATTGAACTATAGCCTACGAAGAATAGTACAACTTCCTTGTCTTTCAAGTCGACACTGATCCTTTGCTGTTGAACTGTAGGAACACCTGGCAGAACAATAGATATAAAGCACAATTCTTGTAAGTTATCACCCCTGGGATACCATACTGCAAACCTACTGTTAAACTACAATTGACTTAGGAGTTTCTTTTTTATCTCTATTTGAAAACACATTTTGAACTTTACACAAAAATTGTAATATTCTGATTGTACTAAAGACACAATTTGGACAAAGACTTTTCTCCCCCTCCCCACCTTCCAAATTATGTGAAAGTTGAATTGGCTTCATATTCTTTTTTATTTTTTCAATATGGAATGCTTCATGAATGTGCATGTCACTCTAGTGCAGTGGCCAAGCTAATCTCTGTGTTGTTCCAATTTGTTAGTATATGTGCTGCCAAAGTGAACACTTCATGTTTAAGTTTTCCATCAAAGACATGCACATCTATGTTTCATGTGTGCAAGACCAATGTAGACGTATGATTTATTATCTTCATCATTTCTTGTCCTGAATATCATACGTTGGCTACAGATAAAATTATAGGGATCCATAATGTGTCTTCATCATTACCACTTGCATTGCACAACATTTCTACTGCCTCAAATTGGACAGTTATATACTTACTATGTACTAGCACAGGATGAGAACTGACATTTATAAGGATTTCCCAAACATTAATTAATCCAACATAGAAATACATATGTCTTAGGGTAGAAAGCAGCCTAAGTCTTATAACTATATTATTTGTTACTTGATGAGTATTTCCGTATTTCCATTAAGTATTGACTAAGAAGAAAAAAAGAGACTACATTATACGATCTTTTTTGTTGTTGTTGATTTGCACTGCGATAACATGATGGGCCTGCTTGTGGGAAGACATCTGGTTGTCACAGATTGGTATAAGTAACCAGCTTACAAATAAATTGTAAATAACAGTGAGACAAGAAAACTGCAAAGTGTTAGTTCAAGGTAAACGGATGAAGATTATGGGAGAATTAAGACCAGTGGTTCGCTAAGAAAGACAACTGCAAACATGACAAAACAAGTGGCTTAAAACAACACAGATTTTTCACTTCTTGGTTCTGCAGGCCATTATTCTGAAATGAGTCTCCTTGGGAAAACACCAAAGTATTGATAGGGCTGACTATCAGTCAGAAAGTTCTAGGGCAATAATGTGTTCTTGTTTTTTATCTTCTGAAGTTGTTCACATTCTTCCTGAATTTCTGGTTCCCTGACCTTTGAAGTGAGCAATGGCTGTTTTTGTTTCTCTGGCATCGTGTCACGCTGATGCTGCCTCTTCCGCTCCTGGCACACTGAGGGAACCTTGTGATGGTGCCTCGATAATCCCGGATATGATTCCTGTTTTTAGCTCAATTGGTTAAGCAGTTTAATTCTACTTGAAGTCATAATTTTCCTTGTCATGCAATCTAAAGCATTTCATTTCCAGGATCAGAATATTGGCAACTGGAGTCTGGGGTGACAGAGACCTTTTTTTTTTACTGTTCACCTTAAGAATTAAGTTGCAGTTTTATAGATGTAAGAAGTTCTGAGATAATATTGCACAGTAAGATGATTATACATGTTAAAATATTCTTACTCTGGGGGCTCGGCGGCATGGCCTAGTGGCTAAAGTCCTCGCCTTGAACTCGCCAGGATCCCATATGGGAGCCGATTCTAATCCTAGCAGCTCTACTTCCCATCCAGCTCCTTGCTTGTGGCCTGGGAGGGCAGTCGAGAATGGCCCAATGCTTTGGGAGACCTGCAGGAAGTTCCTGGCTCCTGGCTCCGGATCAGCACAGCACCGGCCGTTGCGCTCACTTGGGGAGTGAATCATCAGACGAAAGAACTTCCTCTCTATTTCTCCTCCTCTCTGTATCTCTGACTTTGTAATAACAATAAATAAATCTTTAAAAAAAACTCTTACTCAGTATTTTGCTTAAAATTCTAGAGGAAAAGTTTCTGAATTATTTTGCAATAAAAAACTTACACAAATTTGAGACTATATATACGTTTACCTTGACTTGGAGAAAATATTTTACATACATAAACACATTCCATGTGCCATCTAAAAATAAACAAAATTTGATACAGTAGCATATTATAGTAGACATTACCAATACAGTCAAGTTAAAATTGGCTTTAACTTGGCAATTAACTGTAAGTGCCACCTTTATAGAAGTCTCATGTCATCCCTCTGGGACCTCTGTTATGACAGAGAGAATTCTCCTAGATGAAACACTTGAGTTTGTTCTTCAAAGACTCTTTTCTTCCACCAATATCCAATTTCTATCCTGTATGTATATCAGGGTGGATTTTTAAAAGACAAGTCTGTTTATGCTACTCATCTTTTAAAATCAATCAGTGGTTCCCATCATTCAGAACAAGAATTCTCATCAGCACTGGACACATCAAAATGTTCTTTAAAAAGCATTTGGAACTACACAGATTTCCACCTACCTGTTCCAAATTTCTAAGATACTGCTTTAAGCATCAAACCCTCTCTCCCTCATTGAAAAACCATTTGAAAATTATTGGGTATGTGTGTGGTTCATGCATAAGCACAATTGTGGCATTCACAATGATTTTTTCTCTTTTATGGTTCCCCTTTATGGTTCCTTTTAACACTTGCTCTGTGGGGTTAGTTTTTTCTTCTGAAGTAGACACAACTCCAGTCATCCTTGACCTTTCTAATCAATCATGAGTAACATGAAGTCATAGGATCATCAAAATATAGCTAGAGAGAATATGTGCCAAGCAAAATCCTGAAGATGATACTTAAGATGATATTCTCTTAACAATTAACAGACAAAAAATGTTTACCAAAAGCTGTCAATTATGCCTCTTAAATAACTCTTGTATTTTTCTGGTTCCATGATATGTAAAATTTCTAGCTTCATTGAAATGGAAGACAGTTCCCATTTCATAGCTAAGGCTGGTTGGCTGTGCTCAGATTTTACATTTTGCCCTTGTTTTCTCAACTTTGCATGTGTTGTTTCTGGTCCTCTTGACTATAGTAGAGGCAGAGATGTGTGAGCTGGAACTAAACCATTCAACTGTTACAGTCAAAAGTTGATTCCATATACTCATAAGACCTCTGAAGTTTGATGCCTGCTAGAAGCTGATAGGGCTTCTATTTAGACTTGTGGTTCTATTTAGAGCTCACAGCAGAGGGAAGATCTTGCATTTTCCTAGATACAGGGAATTTTTCTTTCTCTGACTCTGCAATGTTTTAAGTACCACTGCACTGTGGCCTGTTTTCCCATGTGGATTTTTTAATAATAAAGTCCCTAGGGTTCCACAGAACCCATACTCTTACCAAATACTCTTGTATGCTTTTTTGCTTACCAAATTGATAACTGATATTTTCTTTCTCCTGTTTGGAGTACTAAGCAAGCATGGATCTATGCAGCTTTTCAGGCAGGACTCACACTCTACTCCCCTGCATTACTCAAACACCTGTTGAGCCCTCTGCTGAAGCTGTTTCAGTAAGGTTGAGAGGAAGAATCAACAGATCCTGTCTCTTGTAAGCTGATGTTGGTCATGGCAGGTTAACCAATGGTTTATTTTCTTGGACATTCATTTACACATATCATATATAATTGAGAAGCACTCTGTGATAGAAATATGTTATGCATGCCGACTACATAGGAGAAAAAGGATGAAAGCCCTTCTCTAAGATCTGTGCTTGTCACATACATGAGACACTGCTCACATGTGATTATTTAAACTTAAAACAATGAAAATAAAATGAAATTTTGAAGAATTGAGTTTGTTGAAGCTTCTGTTTGTCAGAATTTATTGCTTGGTCTCAGAGCTCCACACTCACAATTGGGGGTTCTAGACTCTTCTCCCCACTTTCTCATGTTGCTTCTCTTGATAAATAATATTCAAGATCTTTTTGATAATTTCTTGTAATTGATTGTGAAAGCTTTTGCTGTTTTTCTATAATAGCTCCAGCTTGCCAGCATCTCACAGGTGACACTTTGCTGACCTGTGATTCTCACCTCCAACTCTTTTTTGATCGCATGTGGTACAGAATCAGGCAAACCATGGTCTTAAGGAGAAGTGTATCAAGAAACTTGGAGTAAATACATTTTCAACTTGTACTTGCCCTTAGTAATTAGAAGGGCCACACTTGCATGTTAAGGGAAAAGCATTGGTTAATGATGCCACACAACGAAGTATTGAACAAGACTTTTTTTTCTGAATAAGAGGGATTTGAAAGGACATTTGGATTTGAAAATAGGTATCTTTTGTGCGCCTAGAGTTAAATTCCGTTGAGATCTGGGAGGCTGACTCAGTTCCAAAAGGTCTATACAGCGCTTAAGTAGTAGGTCATATCTTGGTTCTGAATTTATTACTCACTCTTGAAATGATCTGATCAGGTATATGTATAGCTTAATTAGTTTTCTAGCCTTGGATAGCATATTACTTTTATTGGTCAAATGAATTTCAACCATACTAGTCATTTTAGTGTCTCCTTTAACTCGAGTGAGAATGCTAGAGTCCATTCTAAAATTTTGACCTTCATTTCTATCACCTAATGCAGATACCAACACTGCTGGAATGAGTTCCTTTACTATCTAATTCAATAGAGTATGTAGGGGCTTCTGAAAGAGAATCACAATTGCTTTTATTTTTTTTAAGATTTATTTATTTATTGGAAAGTCAGATATACAGGGAAGAGGAGAGACAGAGAGGAAGATCTTCCGTCCGATGATTCACTCCCCAAGTGAGCGCAACAGCCGGTGCTGTGCTGATCCAAAGCCAGGATCCAGGAACTTCCTGCAGGTCTCCCACTGGGCCGTCCTCGACTGCTTTCCCAGGCCACAAGCAGGGAGCTTGATGGGAAGTAAAGCTCCCGGAATTAGAACCAGCGCCCATATGGGATCCAGGAGCGTTCAAGGCGAGGACTTTAGCTGCTAGGCCACTCCGCCGGGCCCACACAATTGCTTTTTATTTGGGGGGAATCTTTGCACATTTTTTATAACAAATGTGCAGAGGCCACCCTTTGAGTCACAAACGTGAATTATTCAATACCTCCTACATAAGTGTGACAGGAAACACAACTTCTGGCGTTATCACTAATGCCTCTCTAAGTACATATTAGCAGAAAGTTCAAATAAGAAGTGGGGCTAGCACTTGAACTGAGGTACTCCACAAGGCATGGAAGTGTGCCATCTAGTATCTCAACTGCTGGGTCAAATGGCTACCCCAAACTTGAACTCTGCAGTTCTGGGTTTTCACTACAAACAGCCACTTTGAGTTCAGTCTGTGGGCTTATAATTTTGTGATTTTATAGGACTGAATTTTCAGTTCTATTGTTCCAAGGAGGAGAGACGCTGGTAGATCTGCTATGAACACTAGAAGACTATCTTAAGATTTATAACTTCTTTTATATATATCTGG